GGCAGTGACAGCCAGAAGCAAGAGCAGCAACCCCCAGGAGAAGACTCTTCCCCACTGGTTTCTGAGCTCCAGGGGAGGAGGCTGCAGGCAACAGTAAAGGGCTGTTCCTTGCACAACTCCAAATGTGAACAGCGCCCTTGAACTCGTGTAGTTTATCAGTCCTGGAGAGCAGCTGGCCATAGGCTACCAGCTGAACTTGGTCAGCTCAAGTTCCATAAAGCCAGACTGCAAGGCAGAGAACACCAGGCCTGGAGGACAGGCTAATCCTGAATTCCCACCTCTTGGGCAGAGGAAACTGACCTTGAAATCAGACATGTACGGGACCAAGAAGAAAGGATCCCCAGTGCTCTGTCTTTCAGGAGTGCACAAGGGGCCATTACCTGACCCAGGGGGACTCTCAGAATACTGTCAGCTCCCCAACCTCAAGCCCAGATCCTCCCAGCTTAACAGGCACAGCGGAGCCTCGCTGAGTCTCAGCTTCCCTCCTCCAAATATTGCTTTGAAATGCATAAAATAAAATATGTAGACTTAAAAGGAACCCTATTATTTTGAAATATGGTTATCAAATCATGGAAACAGACATCGCAATTCAGAGGTATATGTGCTTTCTTATCAGTGCATTAGAAAGATTTAGCATTGGTATAATAACTACCATAATGTCAGATAGCAATCTGTATAAACAATGTATGGAGATGTATTCTTGAGATAACTACAACAACTGATCTGGGCAAGTATTCGATATCCGACAGCCACAATAAAATATTTGTAAGAGCTGGGCACACCTATAGTCCCAGCTATTTGGGAGGCTGAGGCAGGAGGATTGCTTGAGTACAGGAATTACAGGCCAGTCTGGGGAACATGGCAAATCTCTGTCTCAAAAAAAAAAGCAAGAAAGAAATGAAAAAAGAAAAAAAAAAGTCTGTAACAAAGTCACCAATAATACTATAAACAGTACTTGTAATTCCAGCTTCTCAGGAGGCTGGAGGGTCACAAATTTGAGGCCAGCCTGGGCAATTTAGCAAAATCCCATCTCAAAATTAAAAAAAAAAAAGGGGGGGCTGGAGAAATAGCTCAGTGCTTGCCCAGCATGTGTAAAACCCTGAGTTGGATCCCCTGTACTGCAAAAAGAAAAGAAAAAGTTAACAACATAGGCTGGGCACAGTGGAGCACACCTGTAATCCCAGCAGCTCAGGAGGTGGAGGTAGGAGGATCACAAGTTCAAAGCCAGCCTCAGCAACAGCGAGGCACTAAGCAACTCAGTGAGACCCTGTCTCTAAAGAAAATACAAAATAGGGCTGGGGTGTGGCTCAGTTGTTAAGTGCCCCTGGAATCAATCCCCAGTACCAAAAAAAAAAAAAAGAAAGAAAGAAAAGAAAAGTAAATAGCATCGCTGTGCCTTGATTTATGATGGGATTATGTTCCAATAAACCTGACATAAATTGAAAGCATCTCAAGTTGAAAAAGCATTTAATACATCTAACTTATAAAACGTCGGAGCTTAGCCTCACCTGCCTTGAATGTGCTCAGAACACTTCCGTTAGACTACAGCTGAGCAAAATTGTCTAACACGAAACCTATTTTGTATTAAGAGTGTTGAATTGTTCATGTAATTATTAAATACTGCACTGAGAGTGAGACACAGGACCGTAGTGTGGGCACTCACCACTGATGAATGGTTAATAGTTGATGTACAGGAAAGCAGAGCTTCTGCTGAATGCTTATCCCCACCCCTGTCCCTTTTCTTTTTCCTATACTAGGAATTGAACCCAACGCCTCTTGCATGCTAAGCAAGGGCTCTGCTCCTGAGCTCCATCCCTAGCCCTTTTGTTGTTAATTAGTTTTGGAGGATTTGATTGATTTGTTGATTGAGATAGGGTTTCCCTAAATTGCCCAGGCTGGCCTCCAACTTGGTGATTTTTCCTTCCTCAGCCTCCCAAAGGGCTGAGATGATAGGCATGCGCCACCACTCCCAGCTTCTTATCACTTTTACAGCATTATAAAGTTGAAAAATTATAAACCAAACCATTTGTAAACCAAGGACAGTCTGTACTGGGACTTTGTGACCTATGTTCATAGCCTTGGTTGGATACTAATGAATAGATGGATTCGTTTTTCCCATCTAATTTCATGGATCCTCAGAATTCCATGCCCCATGATCCAAGAAGAACAAGTCAGCAAATAAGTCTATGGCTTGACAGACTGCCCTGGAGGCCAGGTGGGGACACAGGGCCAAAGCCACCAGGGTCAGGGAAGGCTTCAGGATAGAATATGAGACAGGTTTTATAGAGGTACCCTGCATAGTTGTAAAAAGAGAGAGAGTGGGGATGTGTGGCTCAATGGTAGAGCACGTGTCTGGCATGCATGAGGCCCTAGGTTCAATCCCCAGTACTGCAAAAAAAAAAAAAAAAAAGGTGGGGGTGGGGGGAGTAGCAGAAAGGAACCACATGATAAACATGCTGGAGGGTTGGGGATGTGGCTCAAGTGGTAGTGCGCTCGACCAGTGTGCGGGAGGCACTGGGTTCAATCCTTGGCACCACATAAAAATAAAATAAAGACTTTAAACCTGCTGGAGTCACAGGGGCAAGTCTGACTATTAACAACTTCCTTTAGAGTGTGGAAAAGGGGCCTCAAAAATGAAGCACCTTAGCCAGGCATAGTGGCAAGTACATGTAGTCCCAGCTACTCAGGAGGCTGAGGCAAGAGGATCACTGGAGTCCAGGAGTTTGAGGCCAACCTGGGCAATATAGTGAGACACACACCCCCATCTCAAAAAAATGAAATAAAAATAAATAAAGTGACATGCCTTGACAGAGACAGGCAACAGAAGTGGCAGGTCCTGGAAAGATAGTTCTGTTTAGATACAGAGCCTCAGCTTATCCCCTCTACACCCCACCCGTCACAGGGAGGCTGAGGCTGAGGACACCTTCAAATGGGAGGCATTGACTTCAGAGTAGAAACTGGGCCCTAAGAACAAGATGGCCCAGTCTATTTGCTTTATATTTGTGCAATTTTTTTTTTTTTTTAGTTCTGTGGATGGAACCCAGGTACATGCTGGGCAAGCACTCTACCACTGCGCTACATCCCCAGCCTTTTAATTTTTTGAAAATTTTGGTACAAGGTCTCACTGAGTCGTCCAGACTTACTCAGTCTCCCAGATAGCTGGTTGCGCCACCACGGTGGTGGCTTTGAGATATCTGCCTGATTTATTTTCACCTGTCTCTTATCAAATAGGGACAATAGCCAGCACCTCACAGAGCATCTAAGTGTGAGTTTTAAAAGCCTTTGAAGCACATACATCACTATGCCTGGCAGAGTGGTCTCATGGTTCCTCTGCAGAGCTTTTTCCTGGAATCAATGCAGTGGCAATTTGCCCCAGCTCTCCTCCTGCCTGTGGCCAGATAATTCTAGCTGGGTGGGGGGAACACTAGGGTCCAGAGGGGTTGGTCTGCCCTTAGCCCAAGGGGAGGGTAAGTGACTGGCCAGCCAGTCACTGCAGGTAAGGAAGCGGTTGGAGAAATACCTGCATCAGCAGAATCCCGCTGGGGGAGGTGAGGGGTGGATCTCTGGTCGAGGGTCAAGGGGCCCCACCCCTGAAGCTGATGGGTTGTGTCCAGGCTGAGATGCGTGGAGGTTTAGTGCAAAGAGAGCCTGCTCGGCTCCATGGTGGGGCTGTGAGCAACTGTGCGGGCTGCATGCTGCGGGACTCCAGGGAACCTTTACATGACTGCAAGCAAAGTGCTCTTGGGAAGCCCTGGGACTTAGGCAATCCAGATACCCTATACTGGCTCTGCCACTCCTTAGCTCTGGGACCTTGAGCAAGCCACTTCACTCTCCGAGCTCATCCATAAAGTGGGACCACCACACCCTTCTTAATGACTCTTGTTTGACACCCAGCTCTTAAGAGTTGTTCAATAACAGCATCTTCCTGTTCCCCCAGGGAACCCCCTACCCCTACCCTAAGGGACCTTTGCCAATCTTCAGGGTACTAAGGGAATGAGATGCCAAGGAGTGAGCCTAAGAGGGGAGAAGGAGAAGAACGGGGCAATTGGAACAGCTAAGAGAGGAGCCCTTCTCCCAGCCTGTGGTCCAACTAATCCCTGCAGGACGCCCCTTTCTTTGGCAAACAGGGCAGGTGCCTCCTTCCCCAGAGGCCTCCTTTGGCTAATGATTCCCCAGCCCTGGAAGAGGCTCTGTCAAGTAGGCTGGACCCTTGACTTCTGGGGCCAACTGTCTGGCCCTCATTCTGCTCCAGCTTAAGCTTGCTCCAGCTCAAACTTCTCTTGACTTGGAGGCCTTGGTAAGGGAAGAGAGGCTTCTGGTACCCAAAGACCATGCTTCAGGGTCTCCCCCATAATTCCCTGAGCAACCTAGGGATGGGGAAAACTTTCAGGGGGTCTATAAATGTGAACATGCCTCTGGAGTTGTGGGATGCAGCCGCCAGATCAGGGTTGCTACAAAGAAGACCACCGACCCGCCCAGAACAAGATTCACTCCAAAGCCTGCTGGGTCCTGGGCTCTAAGGATTCAGATGCCACAAAACTGATTCTGTCCTCCTGGGGCTTGCCTCCTAGCAGAGGAGACATGAATCATACAAATAAAAACATTCTCACAAGTTGTGATAAGAGATAGGGAAGGGACCTGGCAGGGGCCCACATCACCCAGGTCCCACTTCTTCCTCTGTCAGCCCCCATTTCATCTCAGGACCTTAACCTGGGCCCCATGCAGTCCTCTGTGGCTGGATGGGGCCTGACAGCCAACTCCAGTCTCTTCAGTATGACTGGGTGATAATGTCTGGGCCGCCAAGGTCAAAGACAAGGTGGTGAGTGCCTTGCTTTATTTTTTCATTTCTATCTGAAACTGAGACCTTGGGTTTGGGACTCATGGGTTTTTCAGGCTCCCCACCCTCCTTGCTGTTACGGATTACTTGGTTTCTCTTGGGGACAGAAGGGGACGCACCCCTGCCCCCTCCATCAGCTCTGCTGCTCCCCTCCCGCCCACAGGAAGCCTACTGCGCCTACACCATCATTCTCATGGCGCTCTTCTGGTGCACCGAGGCTCTGCCCCTGGCCGTCACTGCCCTCTTCCCCATCATCCTGTTCCCCATGATGGGTATCCTGGATGCCTCTGAGGTGAGCCCCATCCATCCATCCATAGGAGGAAGGGATCCCAGGGAGAGAGCATGGGTTTCTCGAGAGCCCTGGTAACCAAGGGAGCCTCACTGCAGGTGGTGTGCATGCCGCTGCTTGACAGGCCAGAGAACAGTGAGAGAGGAACTAGGGAGAGGCCAAGGAGGGCATTCTAGAAACGTCTGTGGCTGATGTGGAAAGATCATTAAAAGCGAGAGTGATGAGATTTGCCAAGGAGGTTGAGGGCCTGGTCAGGAAAAGGGCCCTGAGAATCCGTAAATCCTCATTATCCACAAGGGATGGGCTCCAGGACCTCATGATACCCAAGTCCCGGGATGCTCCAGTCCCTTATACAAAATGGCATAGTATTTGCATATAACATATGCACATCCTCCTTATATTTTAAGTTTGTCTCTAGATTACTTATAATACCTAACTCAATGTCAATAGTTGTTCTGATCTATTGTTTAGGGAATAATGATGGGGTGGGGTATAGATGAGCTTTTTTTAAAAAAAAAAAAAATGTTTTCCATTCAAGGTTGGTGCAGAACCCACAGATAGAGAGGGCGGGCTTTATACTCCTGGTTGAACGTGAAACAGCACCAGAAACCCCTGGAGGGCTGGGTCCGCCCCTGAGTTTCTGATTTAGTAGGTGAGAGTGGTTTCATTTCTAGCAAGTTGCATTTGATGGTGAGGAGGGTGAGTTCATCTGATGGCCACTTGTAGAAAACCACTGCTCTGCTTTCTAGAAAGAGCATAAAATTATTTTTATTTTCCAATCCGTGGCTTGAATGATGAACAGGATCAGGCTAGATTGTCGCCCAGTCATCCTGAGGGGACAAAGAGTGAGTTTGGCAAGAACTGAGGAACCTGGTTAATATCAAATGGCAGATGATCCAAAGGCCATTTCCATTTAGTCCTGAAAGGTCAGGGGAGAGCCAGTCTGCAGGGACGTTAGTGACCTGCACCCTAAAAGCACAGGAACATCGTGGGAGACCCCAGGTCTAGCTGTGGTTTCAGTCCCATCCCTGCCCACCAGGTCTGCATCGAGTACCTCAAGGACACTAACGTCCTGTTCATCGGGGGGCTGTTCGTGGCCATCGCTGTGGAGCACTGGAACCTGCACAAACGAATTGCTCTCCGTGTGCTCCTCCTCATCGGGGTGCGGCCAGCCCTGTGAGTTCCCACAAACCAGGACAGGAGAATAGGGATCGGGCGGCACTCAGGGCTCCCAGTCCCTGAAGGGGAGCTGGAATGACAGTGTGTCCACCTGCTTGTCCTTAGGCTACTCCTGGGCTTCATGCTGGTCACTGCCTTCCTGTCCATGTGGATCAGCAACACAGCCACCACGGCCATGATGGTGCCCATTGCGCATGCAGTCCTGGAGCAGCTGCATGGCACACCCAAGGACATCGAGGAGGGGAGTGACAACCCTACCTTCGAGCTCCAGGAACCAAATTCCAAGAAGGAAGTGACCAAGCTTGGTGAGAGAGAAGAGGCAGGCCCTACCCCAACCACTCAGTTCTTGGGGGAAGATCTGAGAGGCCATCCTTCCCCAAGGGTGGTCATCTTGGAGCCTTTGTGCAGAGAAGAGGGAAGTGAGAGGCACAGTGACCAGCTTGATCGGGATTACCTGGAACTTTCCTGGTTTTACAATCCCAAGACCCATGGGCTAGGGGCGGAGAGCCGCTCAAGCCCTGGTTTGATCCCTAGTACTGCAATGAAGTTTTCAAAATAAAATAAAATAGGAATACCCTCAGCCAGTCCTGGGCAATCCAAGAGGCGTGGTCACCCTAGGAGAAGAGAGCTGGAGCCTGAGTGGGCAGGCAGTGCCCTAGGCGCCATCCCTGCCTTGTTTGGATAATCCTCTTCTCTTCTCTGTGCCTCAGTTCCCTCTCTCAAGAGAGGATGGACCAGATGGTGTCTAAAGATACTCTCAGCCTGAGGCTCCAGGGAATTCTGGGCCCACTCAGACCTAGGAACAGCTTCTGTCCTCCTCCCAGCCCAGGTCTAGGCTGTCCACTGACAAGGTACCCTGGGGGCCATGGAGCCTCAACCATGTTCCCCGAAGCTGTCCCTATGCCTGCCCCAACCTGAACTTTCCCTTATTCCTCAGATAATGGGCAGGCCACCCCTGTCACCGCTGCTCCTTCAAAGCCGAAAATACAGAAAACCCAGGAACAGATCCGCTTCACACAGTGCATGAGCCTGTGCGTCTGCTACTCAGCCAGCATCGGGGGCATCGCCACACTGACTGGCACCACACCCAACCTAGTGCTGCAAGGCCAGGTCTCCTCGTGAGTGACTGAGGGCAGGAGGCATGACAGGGCTGGGGTAGGGGAAGCCTGAGCTCTCCCTGGGAGGCAATTGGGGCTGGGCAGTTGCTGTGGCAATGTCACACAGCAGCCTATGTCCCCTTCAGGATCTTCCCCGAAAACCCTAACGTGGTGAACTTTGCCTCCTGGTTCGGCTTTGCCTTCCCCACCATGGTCATCTTGCTGATTCTGTCTTGGCTTTGGCTTCAGATCCTCTTCCTGGGTTTCAAGTAAGTGGCGGAGTGAATAAGAGATGTCCAGGTCTTTGTCTGTACCCCTGGGAGCTTCTGGTGGGATCCAGATGTGAAAATGACAGAGCCCTTGATAAGGCTCTTTCTCCCAAGGCCCCTCGGTGCACTTGACCTCCTATTTGAGGGAATTGCTTGGTGGATGATGTTACCTAAGTTGGTAGATGAGCACTGTCTTGAGGGTGGTCACCACTAGATTTTTCAGTGCTGGGATTGAAAACTAGGTCTCCTGATGCCCAGACCAGGCCCCTTCCCCTAATGCTCTACAGTCCTTGGATAAGTGCTTAAGGAACACGACAATTGTAGAAGCATGTGTTATGTTCCTACCGCATGCTTGGAGCCTGTGCTAAGTGCTGAGAATATTGATGGGCATTTGCAAATCCTTGATGGATGATGAATATGGTGGAAAACATGACAGAGGGTGAAGTGCTTCAGGTAGTGGATATTCTAAGATGCTTCTCAAAGAGACAATGTCTGAGCCCACTCTTGCAGGACTAAAATAAGTCAAGTAGAGAACAGATCAACGCATTCCAAAGCATAGAGGCAAGAAAGAGCCTGTGCATTTGGAGGGGCTCTGGCTCTGTGGGTCTGAAACGCAAAAAAGAAAAGGGGCGGTGGGGGGAGTATCAGGACACAAAACTCAAGAATCGGGCAGGGGAAGATTGCAGAAGATACTGTGAGCCACGTGAAGATTTGAGGACTTGTTCTTGAGGTCAAGAGTAATAAGGTTGCATTCCTATTTGCAACCCTGAGTTACTCCTAGTCACTTTTGGGCTTCTATGTTGAAAATCCTTGGAGACCCTGATAAGACTCAGTTGGAATCGAGTCTGGGATTGATTAGTGATGTCTACTGTGCATATAGCACAGGAGTGGTGGTATCAGTGCTACTGTGGTCTGAGTTATTTGCCCTGCCTTCCCAGGCAGAGGGGAGCCATTGCAAGTTCATAAGCATCATTGCTATACTTTCAGCAAATCACTTGTTCACATTTGAGGAGGTTGGATTAAGGTGAGGGGCTGGTACAAGGCAAGGTGGTAGTTGAAGAGATCAGCACAGTGCCAGGCACCATGGGGAAGTCAAAGATGAGTAAAGCATGCTCTTTGCCCTTGAAAAACTCATAGTCCAGAAGGCAAGTGAGATTTACCCAGTGAAAAGTTAAATGTCAACACAAGTTATATAAGCAGTGCAAGGAAACAGGCCATAGCCTCCTGTGCCACTGAGGACAATTCCAGTGGGGCTCAGGCTGGCAGGGGACACCCAGAGGCCAGCAGGAGGATTTTCTGAGAGGCTTGTGAAGGAGGAGAGCTGTGAGTCAGCACCGGGAGGAGACAGAGGGTCCAAGCCACTAGGTCCTACTAGGCCAGCCAAAGAGATCCCTTGGAGGAAGGAAATCAACAGGGCAGGTGGAGCAGGAACAAGCACAAGTCAACCTGCTCCCCCTGGTAAGCCATGGTCCCCTCTGAGTCTTCTGCTCTTCTCCAGAACCATCAGTAGAGTCAGGGCTAGTGGAGTGACCCCAAAATGACTTCTCTGGGCTTCAGTCTTCACATCATAGATACTCAGAGCCCCTGGCTCCCTGCCTGGTATAGGGCCTCACGAGCTGTTCCTGCCCTCTGCCTACAGCTTCCGGAAGAATTTTGGCTTTGGAGAACAGGAAAATGAGCGAAAGGACGCAGCCTTCCAAGTCATCCATAGACAGCACAAGCTGCTGGGCCCCATGAGCTTTGCAGAAAAGGCTGTCACCATCCTCTTTGTGGCCCTGGTGCTGCTGTGGTTCACACGAGAGCCGGGTTTCTTTGAAGGCTGGGGTAACCTAGCTTTCCCTAATGAAAAGGGCGAAAGGTGAGAGCTGTTGGGGAGGAGGAGACATACCTGAGGCTTAATGCTGGGAGGTGAGGGAAGGGAGCAGAGTCCCCAGTGCAGAACACAAGGTCACTCTTGGGGTGGGGGGTGGAGGACAGAGGCTTCTCTCTACCACCCCTTCACCCTGTGAGTCTGAGCAGTCTTGAGCCACAAGTCTGTCCTCCTTGCCCCACCCACAGCATGGCCTCCGATGGGACAGTGGCCATCTTCATCAGCATAATTATGTTCATCCTGCCCTCCAAGATCCCAGGGCTGACCCAGAACCCAGGTAAGCACCTGGACTGGGCAAGAAAGGGTCTCTGGTCAGCCCCTGCCTGCAGGCATGTAATGCACCTTTGGCAGGAGTCAACAAAACCCAGAGAGGTTGGGGTGACTTGCCAAGGGCACAGGGACTCAGGAAGGAAGTTGGAACATTATAGAACTGAGGGATTCCCTCCTGCATGCACCAAGCTCTGAAGGGACCCACTCAGGAGCCCCCAAGTGGAGGCCGGTTGGCTCTGGGTGACCCATCCTTCTCTGCTTGGGGAGTAGAAAAACCAGGGAGGCTGAAGGCCCCTCCCGCCCTCCTCAACTGGAAGACAGTGAACGAGAAGATGCCCTGGAATATCGTGTTCTTGCTGGGTGGTGGCTTTGCCCTGGCCAAAGGCAGTGAGGTGAGAGACCCGCGAGCCCCCTCCCCAGGCTGTTTGAGGGAAACCCTATGGGAGGGAGAGAGAGGCCTACTTGTGCCCTCCAAAAGGCAGACATGATCCCCACTTAGGAGCCCAGCAGTGGGCAGCAAATTTGCAGAAGCTAGAGGGACATGGGTGGTGGTCCCATCCACGGAAAGAAAGAAGAAACACGAGCCCCAGCGACCTCTCACTCTTCACTGGTGGGTGGGGCCTGCTCTGGGCAATGAATTCCACCTCCACCCGCCCCTTATGGTTGGCCAGGCATTGACAGTGTGCCGGTTGCTGCCACCAGGGGGCGCCATGATCACACCAGGCCAGGCTGTGGGGACCAGGGCATCTTTCTCCAGAGCCTCCCTCTAAGAGGGAAATCCCAGAAACTGCACCTGGGCATCTGTTCTCGCTGAGCTCATTTACTGCAGACAGGAGGCAGGTGCCCCAGGTCAGGGATCGGTGCTTGGGGCTCCTGGGTCTGTGGTTAGTTTGTCCATCCACCGTGTCCAGCACTGCGCTTAAGACGGCAGCACAGAATGAGGCAAAGTCCCAGCTCCCTGTGCGCCCCGTGCAGTGCTCTTCCAGGCTGGCATTACGGATGTGGACGGGACAAGACCTGGGAGCTCTTCTCGCCCTGTGGATTGCCCATCCTTCTGTCCCCCTCTTCCTAGCCCTCCCCCTACTCTCCCTTCGTGTCAGGAGTAAGGTTCCCTCAGCCCCAACCCACCAGGCTGGAGGGGGCAGGGAGAAGGCTGAATTGGCCCAGTGACCCCCTGAGAGGAGTCAGGAAGCAGGGGTAAATGGGGTGAAGGCTTTTCCCCCCGCCAAATCCCAGATTTTCTGAGGACCCTTCCTCCTAGTTTCTCATCTGGCCCTTCTCCCCTCCCCTCATTGTTCCTCAAGAGCAGCAGAAGGGACCTCTTGATTCTAGGTGGCTCCTGTCTTCCCCTCAGAGTCGTTTTTCACTCTGAAGACCTTGGGGATGTGGCAGGAGCAGGATCCTCCCAGAGCCCCCAGCAGAGGGCAGGGGGCACCCCGGGGCAGCCCTGTCTCCTAACGCCACCCTCCTGCCCCCAGAAATCCGGCCTGTCTGCGTGGCTGGGAGACAAACTGGCCCCGCTGCAGAGTGTACCACCGCCCGCTACCGCCTTCCTCCTGTGTCTCCTGGTTGCCACCTTCACTGAGTGCGCCAGCAACGTGGCCACCACCACACTCTTCCTGCCCATCCTGGCCTCCATGGTGAGCTGGACCCCTCCCCCAGGCACCCCTCCTGGCTGCCCCACCAGGGGCTCTGCCTGCTGGGCACAGTGACCTGCCTTCAGCCTCCTCTTCTTTCCTGCAGAGGACCCCTGAGCTTTCACCCTTCTCCAGGTTCTTGGGCTCTCGGGCCACAAGGCCCTCTGGCCCCTGACTCACCCCCTCCCTGGTGACATCACCCCTTGAATATCCTGATGGGGCTCAGAGGTGGCCTCGCCCACCTCCCTGCCCCAGCCCCTGTTCTGGTCATTCCAGAGGTGACGGGTAAAATTGCTCCCTGGAGCGTCCCCAGCCCCTTCCTCTCCAGGCGCGTTCCCACAGCCTTTGATGACACCTCCCGAGCCCCTTTGAGATCTGTTTTATGGGCCCCTCCCCTCACTACGCCCCACAGCACACTCATCCCCTCCAGGGAGGTCAAGGGGCCTTTCCCAGGTCACCCAGGGTTTTCTGGCAGAAGCGGTGGGTTATGACCAGAGAGTGTGCAGGGGGTTGGGGTTGTCCCCCAGGCCGGGGAAGCAGGAGAACTGGGGCCACAACCTTCCTTCGGGGATGGGGACCAAGCTCAGCTCTGCCCCACGGTCCCCTCTCCAGGCTCAGGCCATCTGCCTCCACCCGCTCTATGTCATGCTCCCCTGCACTCTGGCGGCCTCCCTGGACTTCATGCTGCCCGTGGCCACCCCACCCAACGCCATCGTCTTCTCTTTCGGGGGCCTCAAAGTGTCAGATATGGTGAGTGGCAAGCAAGGCTGGAGGTCTCAGCACTCCTTCCAGTTCCAACTTCTTGGGCCGCCAAGAAGGCTGAAAGGCACTGAGAGTCTCCAAGCTGAGAGTGGGACCCTCGGGGGTGAGGGGACAGCAGGGGAGACTGGGGACAGGACCCCTCAGTTGGCACATCTTCAAGCACTTCCAGCCCTGGGCCATGAGAGAGGGAAGGAAATGGGGGACATGCGGAAGATCCAGAGGGTCTGGTGTACCCATACTAGGGAGATGAATTCAGAGAAAACAAGGCCCAGGTTTGCAGCTCATGAGGAGCCCCCTTTTCCCGGTTAGCCCTGGGAGTCAAGAAAATAGCAAGAAAGTTGCTGAGCCCTGTGGGCTAGATCACAAGAAGGAATTCCCAGAGTTTTGCTAATGGAAGGGCTCGGAGCACCCCTGGACACTTGAGAGGTACTTAATGGTGCTGCTCAGTATCTGCTTAGTTGAACTGACTCTCCTCCCACCAGGCCCGGGCGGGATTCCTGCTCAACATCATCGGAGTGCTGGTCATCACGCTAGCCATCAACAGCTGGGCCATCCCCATCTTTGACCTGCACACTTTCCCTTCCTGGGCCCACTCCAATACCACGACTCAATGCCTTCTCAACACCACCACGCCAGGCCCCTAGATTGGGTTGCCGCCTAGCCATGCCCAGGAAAATCCCACCCCGTCCCATTTCCTCTGAGCCAGGAGGGGACACTCCAAGTTCTAAGCCCTGGGCTGAAGACTGAGAGAAAGGCCCACGTCTACACAATCGAGTGTGCTTGTGAAGGTGTGTGCTCATCTCTAGTGTGTCAGAGGAAAGCGTGTGTATCTACGCATGCATGTGTGTGTGTGTGCCGGTGCGTGTGAGGATGGTGCTGTCGTGAGTGTGTCCGAGGGGGGTTTGCGTGCGTGTTTGGTGGTGCACACGTGTGTGTTCACAGAAAATACACCCTGCCCTTCTTTGTCTCCCCAGCTTAGTGACCAGACCCCTTTGCACTGTATTTATTGAAACTCAGGGTTGGAGTGGCCTGGGAGCAAGGCCTGTCTCAGGGACTGCTGGTCCAGCGTTCTGAGGTCTCCCCAGGCTCCCAGGTTTGGGGAGGGTTCAAATATTAGCTGATTAAAGTCTTTTTTCAGTAGAGTCTGGGGTGTCTCTCACAGCGCTCTCTAGACTGCTCCACAACACGGCGTGGGGGTGGGGCCAGGCTGGAGATATGGCGGGAGGGGGCCTGGTCTCTGTCCTGCACGGCGGCTCCCTTGACATCCCTCCCACCCACAGGAGAAGGTAATGGTCAGGCACCCCTGCCAGGGCCGATCGGAGTGGGCGCAGCCACCCAGGATAGCAGCACTGACATCACCAGGACTGCTAATTGGGAACTGCCAGTCCCTGCGTGTCTTTGGGAAAACCGGCCTCCCCGTTCCCAGAGCACTCCCTGAGCATTTACATAAAACTCCGTGCCCCTGCCAATTCCTCACCGACCCTTCCTCCAGCTGGAAAAACCGGTCCCACCAGATCAGAGGAGCCAGGCTGGCTGACCCATGCAGGGTGCCCAGAAAGATGGACCCTCACCCCAAATGGCACCCTGCAGCAAGAAGAATGTAGTTTAGACTCATAGGAACAGGCTCAAAACTGCCATGACCTTCTGAGTTCAGAACCTGACAACCTTGGATGATTCTGCTCTTGATTCCACACTTGCCCTCCTCTGCCACCCGACCCTGAACTCTCATAGCTTCCGGAGCTTTCATTTATCTGGCAAAGTGGGCATAGGCTAGGGAAGGATGATACTACAGCTAGCATCCATTCTAGGAGCTCCACATCCTTTCCTGGCTAGAAGTTCATCTTTGCATCTATCCTAAGTTCCTTCACTGTGGAGGATGGTATGTAAGCCTTGAGCTCATCTGGATGGAAGTTTCTAGAGTTTCATCCACTCCCCTCCTGCTGCAGTGGTAAAGAGATATTTATCATCAGCCTCATGGTTGAATGGAAAAGGGAGCCGAGATGTGAAGGGAGAAAGGATTTAATTCTGTACCCCCCTAGGCTGGGCTTTCACTGCATCTCCCTGGAGCCGCCGGGGGAACTCATGGGCAGTGCAGCTAGGAGGGGGCTACTGTACAGGGGAGAACATGGCTGTCCCCAGGGGACAGAAGATCCTGACAGGACATGCCAGACTTCCAGGAGAGCAAGGAGTGTCAGGAGAGTGGCTCCGCCTCCCCCTGGCCCCCCAGGCTGGCATTCCTCAAACGTGAAGCACAGTCATAAATCACATCTCCTTCCCAGACCTGCACCAGGACCCCCCAAAGCCCCAGGCAACAGTCCCCTCACTGGGAACGGGCAGCCCCAGAATGGCAGGGCTCCCCCAGTAGCTTACCCACAATGCACTGGGTAAGCAGAAGCAGCCTCAGCTCCCCCCTACCGCCAGAGTCGCCCTGCCCCATAGCAAGGAGGACCCCCCCTGTTATTGCTATCTTCAGGACCTCGCTGAGGAATGGCTATCCAGCCCCAACTGAGAAAAAGGTTTCTCAGGGTGCATACCCCCGACCCAGTAGTCTCAGCTCCATGTCCCCTTTAGTCCCGCTCAGAGAGACCTGGGTGTAGAGTGAGGTCACACAGCAATCCCAGGAGATGAGGAACAGCTGGCTCAGCCTTCTTGGGAGAGGTGGACCCAAGGCAAGCTGGGTCTAGAAGTTGACTGTGATGGGTGCGATCACCCTGTTCAGGGACCAAGTCTCCCTCTGATGCTTAGAAACCTCCCTCCTCAGCAGGCAAGAGGGCGGCCCGATGGCAGGAGGCACCTGTCAGGCTAATCACCGTCATTATCCAGGCAATAAAGCAGCACAGACTGGGCTAGCCTTTGAAAGAAGGGCCTGCCAGCCCAGGTCGGCTTGGACAGGTAGCCTAGCAGCTGGGCCTCTTCGGCACACACAATCAAGGTGGCGGCAGGTGAATGGGACATTGCTGGGACATGATCTCCCTGCCAGGTACCCACACCCCATCATTGATGATAACCTCCAGGAAGCAAGGGGCTTTGGGTGTCTCCTACCTCCAGACCTTGTGTGGTGGTGAGCTCCCTGTTGCTGGAGACCATCAATGAAGCTGAATCCAGAGGACAGCCCGCCTGATGGAGCCGTGTCCCCCATTCCCACGTGGAGCCTGGAGCAGGGAATGTTGTATGAATGAACAAATGGATGAGTGGATCAGAAGCAGAGAGGGTTTTCTGGCTCCCCAGTGGCGGTGGGGTGGGGGAAGCTGGACACACAGCGCTCAAAGACCCTTTCCAAACTGTTCTATGTGGAGTACTATAAGACTTCGAGGCAGCGTTTGGTCTCTGGGCCAAAGTCACTTTAAGCTCAGAGACAGGCCTAGATTTCTGAGCCAACTCATACTGTTGCCCCTGTTCCTTTTCCCTGAGGCCTTGGGAGTTTTCGTTTCTCACCCCTCCTCCTGCCGGCCCCACCAGCCAGGAGACAGCTATGGCAACCAGAGGGTTCAGGAAGTTCTCAAGCCCTGGCAGGAGAAGCCTGCAGGGTGCAGGATGTCAGAGAGGCTGGGAAACAGGTGGAAACAGGCTGATCCTACTCTAGTGTCCCTAGAGATGAGGGTCCTTAGCCCCCAGGGAGGCCTTTCTGCTCTGGCCATGAGTTGTCCCTCTACCCCAGAGTCTCAGAGGGGAGGTTGCTCCCTGAAGAAGCAGAAGGTGGGTCAGAGCTGAGACAAGGGGAGCTCCTATGGGGTGCTAGCCTAGGGAGGGTGTCCCCTGAAGCCTCCATGCCAGACAAGGACTCAGAAGAGTTGCTCCTTATTTACTTACTTTTCATTCATTTTTGCAACACTGGGGATTGACCCCAGGGGCGCTCTACCCCTGAGCTACGTCCTCAGCCCTTTTTATTTTTTTATTTTTTGAGATAGGGTCTCACTAAATTATCCAGGCTGGCATCAAGCTTGAGATCCTCCTGCCTCGGCTTCCTGCGTCACTGGGGTTACAGGCATGTGCCACTATGCTGGGCAAGAAGAATAGCTCTTAAAGGTGGTGAGACCCACAGATGTGTTCACAGAGCCACAGATTCCTGGGTACACACAGAGCCTGCTGACCCCTGCGCAGACGTGGATACCTGTGTTCACACAGCCACACACACTCCCTCATAGACACTCTTACACACCATGCCACCAGCCCTCACAGCCCTTCTGACACCCAGAAACCATCCTGGAAACCCACACAGACACACATAGTCACAGACATTTGTCCATCCACAATCACTCAGACCTGAGTGTTCTCACAAGTACACAGATGCTCACACTCACTGGCACAGTCACTGTGTAAGCTCCACGGCTTAATGCACACCCACGGTGGCACACGAGTGAGAGAACAAAAATGTAAGTACTCACATAGTCACACGTGTACTGTATTTACAGACACTGGCACAAGTGAACACACACACACACACACACACACACACACACACACACACTGCTCCTGTCTACCACAACTAAGCCTCCCACAGCAGGAGGGATTAGGAGGGGAGAGAAGCCTCTCCACCCAGCAGGACTCTAACTGCGGGCCTCCCATCAGACCCTCCCCCACCAAGCTTGGAAACTCCCTGGACTTCCAGGGGTCAGCCAACCAGAACAGCTCAGACCTCTCGGCCCAGCTCCTACCACACACCCTCCTCCGCAGCTCTGGCCTGGAGCTTCTCTAGCAAGAAGAAGCAGCTTCACAGTCAAGGAGCTGCCTGCCCCTCTCCCTAGGAAGCTATCGGTCCTTAACCCTGATCCCTCCAAGCCTCTTTTGAAGTAGGTCCTCAGCCTGCAGCATCTTATGCCAGCTACGCGTAGGCCCCATCCTCTGCAGATGTTCTTTTTGGGGTGGAGTGGGGTGGGGTAGGGTAGGGGGTATTGAATTCATGGCCTTACCAATGCTAAGCATGTACTTTACTTCCTGTGCCAATTTTTGGCAGTACCAGAGATCAAACCCAGGACTTGGCCCATACTAAGCAAGCATTCTACCACTGAGTGACATCTCAACCCTTTTTTTTTTTTTTTTTTTTTTTCAGTCTGTGGATGTGGATAGGGTATCACTAAATTGCCCAGACGGGCCTCAAATTTGTGATCCTCGTGCCTCGGCCTCCAGAATTACAGGCACACACCCCATGGTGCCCAGCTTGCTGATGTTCTTTAGTGTCTTCCACACCAGTGGAGTGAGACTTGGAGGGCCTCGGAAGTGGCAGGCTCAGTCTTGGGAACTCACGTTGAGAAGACAAGTCCAGCCTACATGAGCAGAAGTGGACAGAAGATGGCCCATCCTGACATGGCTTGCAGAAAAGGCCACCCCTCCTCCATCATATTGGGACCCCGGAAGGTGGGGGGGTCCCTGAGATCTCCCTGAGATCTCCAGTGTTTTGCTCCAGACTGGAGCGTGGCAGATGTTGGCCCTAGCCAGGGCTGCTCCTGGCTCAAGGCAGCCGAGCCTGGACAGGACTCAGCAGAAGATGGTGCCCCAGTCCTGACCTCCAAGTCTCCAGAGGCACAGAGCCTCCCCTGACCCCAGCTACAGCCCACCTTGGTTCTGTCTGTGGATTCTGGAGAGAGAGGCTTTCTGAGCCTAGGAGAGAACTCTGGAGGTGCTGGAGTGAAGGAGGGAGGGTCCTATCCAGAGGAGGAAGAGAAAACCTCACAAATCCCCTTCCAGTCCAAGATCTGTGGAATTCCCGAGGCTCCTGCTTCAACTCCCAGACTGCCAGCAATGAGGAAGTCTCGCTTCCCAAAGGAAAGAGGGAGCCAGAGCCCACGCCCACTCCTGGGGCAGGGGTAGAGCCTGTCTGGGAGGAGAAGGAAACTCATCTTGCACATCACAAGCAGAGTCTCATTCAGAAAGGTGACAGCCACAGTCTCTCCTGTGCATCCATCCCATCAGGGTCTCCCTGAGGGCCTGGACCCCTGGATTGGTCTGCATTTCCCTGATTGTTAATGAAGTTCATTTGTTTAGGGGCCATTTGTAATTTGGCTATGAATTGCTTATTCTTGTCTTTCGCCCATTTTTCTGAGAGATGGTCTTTTTGTTTGTTTAAAAAAATAAATACTAACACTTTGCTTCTTATATATGTTGCCACATTTT